CCCCCCCCCCCCCCCCAAAACCCAACACTCTACATGAGGATCAGTAAATCGGCAACCCACAACATCATCCTATCATCATGCGCCAGGGCAATCAACTTCCCAACCCTGAGACCTGCCCAGAGTGACCTTTATATCTAATATTTGCAAGGCTCTAGATTACTGAAAGTACTGAATAGAAAGCCATTAAAACCCTCTCTGAACCCGCTAGGGTCCAAACTCTCCTAACCCTGGGCTCTAAGCCCTGAAGCCTGAATCCTAAGCCCTAAACCTCAAAACATATACCCTGAGCCCGTGACCTTAAATCCTATACCCTAAAACCCTAATCAATCCTAAACCTTGAAATCTAACCTCAAACTGAAAGCAGATCGCACCTGGCTCCCGCGCTCCCTCAGCGCTTGCTCATCGTCGTTGTTTCCCGCCCTGATGTCATGTCTATCCCTTAGGGTTCCTCCCCAGTTACCTAAATAATGGGAACTGGGTTCTATATACCGTATAAGTATATACGCCAGTAGCCAACTATTTAGGTAACTGGAAGCCCAAGGGTACGCAACTAAGTTTAGGGCTCAGGGCTTCGGATTTAGGGTTTCAGGGCTTTGGGGCTGAGAGGATGCCAGGCTTAGATACAAGGAGGGGCCCCTAGTTATGAGTTGGGCTTTACGAAGGTTAAGTGCGGTTGGAAGTCCCATGACCTGTAGTTATGTGATACATATATATATATATATGAAGAGAAGTATATAGAGTTTTGTAAGTAGGGGCCCTACCCATTAGGGAATTCCTAGGAACTATATACGCATCTTCGAGGCCCCAAACCCAGACCCTAAACCCTAGACCCTCAACCCTAAACCCTAAAGTAGGACTGCGGAAGGCCACATCAAGCTGTCCTTATCTGGATTGTGTGGAGGTTCGTATATGAGCTACACTCTAAACTCCTAGTATCCCCCAGGGTTTAGGGTTTAGGGCCCTATAATGGAGAATCAAATGGAAAAGAACATGGAAAATGAAATGGAAACTGGGATTATATAGGGGATTACAGGGGTTATAGTCTAAACTCCTAGTATCCCCCTTAAGAACTGTTCTAGTCGGCCCCTATATAATCCCCTAAGTAACACCACTTCAAGGCATTTAGATTATGGCTCACATGGTTTAGGACCCATGCGGTTTAGGGTTTAGGGATTATGCTGTAACACGCCCCTATCACGAAACCAACCGGAAAATGAAATGGAGGCTGGAGATCCTATACTTTGGGTCATTCCCCCTCCCAGTAACTGTCCTTAAAGGGGCCTTATTAAGCAGGTTCTTGTAACTCCTATAACCCATTGTGGTAACAGTTACTGCAAGGGGGAATGACCCCACCTATACGATAGGTAAATAAGGGCCATCTGAAAGTGGCTTTGGCAGGTGAACTGAGTAAGAGTATCTTCCTTTTACCAAATGCAGCCATACCCTAAAGCAATGTCTAATCCCACTCCATACTGCTCTATTGAAGCCTAAAGTATCCCAGTCCAAAAAATTGAGGAATGGGTGTGTGTACAACAAGCTTGCATTGGATAACCTCAGATGCCTGCAGGTTTTTCGCTTGCAACCAGCAATCCTCCGAAGCATCTTTAAATTGCTGTGACACGGTGAGGGCCGTTTAAGTCTAGGAGTTCAAGTGTAAAGTTGTTTCGGGCCAGCTTCAAAACCCTAACCTACACCAAACACTATACCAATCCAAAACTCGTTGTAGCAGATATTTGGTATCATTGTCTTCAAAAGGGCTGGATTACTCTATCATTGTTGCACGTTAAAACCTGAATTTCTTGAGTTCCAACACTAGCCTTGCAAACACAGCTGCTGATGCCTCAAGAACCTCATAGATCCTAGAAGTCCTAGAACCAGCTTTCTTGTACCATATAGTATTCTTAGGGTCATGCCGGATGCTGTCCATCAACCATTCGGCTCGATGAAGCCTCATGTACTTTTGACAGAATCCCATAAACCCTACCGGCGAAACCTAAACCTCACGCCCTACCCCCTGGCCTCCAAGTCTATACAGCTAAAAAAGTAACTGCTTCGGGCAATTTGGAGCCTTAGAGTATGCGTGTTGGGTACTGCTCCCACTCAGTAACAGTTGGATAATGTTTATAGTATAGTTGTATATAGCCCTTAATATGACCCCTAGTATAAGCTGTTACTGGGTGGTGTCAGTACCCAAAATGGGTGTTTCTTAACATGGGTCCCGACAATCTGCCGCCAAAACCAGATGAGTAGTGTTTGTTTTGGTGGTTGAACCTAGTAAGATTATATTCCTTATATTACATACTATACACCAAAAGGAAGATATAATCTTACTCTTCATTGGGTACTGTAGTACCCGCCAAAAAAAAACTACTCAGATTGTTGTTTTTTGCCCTTTGAATCCTGGAAGGGGGGGGGGTACTAGGGGAATGTGATCCCCATCTAACCCCAGTTTCTGTTGCATGTTCAGTTTGATATCCATTGTTCTACATCTTGGGGAAGATCCGTAAACCCTAATCCTTGAACCCTACACCCTAAACCCCAAACCTTACCAAACGCTGAACCCCAAACCCCAAACCCTAAACAATAAACCCTCGATCCCACGTCAAAGCAGCTCGTTTTTCTGGGTTGCTGTTAAGGAACTTAAATTAAGTTACCATAATGGGTATATATTATATAGTAAATAATAGGGTTTCCCCAGTAAAGTAACTTACTTTAAGTTCCTTAACAGCAACCCAGTTTTTTGCCATCTGCTGGTTGTCACCTGCTGGCTACCAGGATGTCTCTCACGCTGTGGCGATCTACACTAACGCCTGAACCTTGGGGCTCCAAGTCCATAACTTAGGTGGACCCCCCACCCAGTAATAGTGACTGTAAGGAGTTGTAAGGACTATATTAGGGTCCCCCGTATATTCCTATTATACCACTATTGCAGGGTGGGGGGTCCTCCTAATCCATAACTAATGCCCAGTTGGTGCTCTTAAGTCTATGAACGATGACTGGTTTGAGTCCAACGTCTGAAACATGATAGAAAGTCTATAAGTCGATCAATGATACTTGATTGGAGCCCTACAGTCTAGAAATGATACGAATGCTATGAGGGATACTTACTTTCTCTTTTTGTTTGGCCCCACCCAAAGGAGCCCTGCCCAGTCCCCCAAGGGACCGTTTGGGCCATGTGGCCCTGCATGGGCTAGGATCCCTTTGGGCTTTACCCAAGGCGCCCGATGCCCTCATAGGGCTTGGTTTAAGGTTTAGGGTTTAGCATGCTCCCTAGGGTTTAGGGCTTAGGGTTCAGGCTTATGAAGGTTCATGCCTTCAATCATACTGGGGATCCCCCTGAAACCTAGACCCTAAACCGAATGGCATGTAGGGTATCTTCATCAATGAGCATACATTGGGCTCTCAGGGGCTCTAGGGCCTAGGGAACTCGCATGATCTGCCGAAACTTCAGTCAGGGCGGTCTTACAGGCAGAATGTATCCACTGTTGAGCAGGCAGAACCCTGCATCTAGCACATGCAGCACATCCTTATGCCGAGCTGTTGATGAGCACGGTAAGCTTGCCTGAGTTGAAGCTAGCCCGAGAAAAAACA